TGGTGCTATTAATTTGATGATGCTAAATAATATTAATACAATAATGCAGCAATGATTAATACAGTTAATGATCAATACAGTAACATTTATACTAGAACATATATATACAAAGTACAAGGCGCATAATTACATTGAGTATAGAATCATTGGGTGCATTATACATATACATACATAAAACATAACTACATGGTGATGGTACTTAAGATACATTTATAAACAGGTACAGATGGTCCTTATTTACATATTGCGGTACAGATAATAGACATAATTCGTTTGGTTGGCATAATGCAAATTGATTAAATAGTTTATTCTTGCTATATTACTAGGAGTGTTGGATACACTTTACGATAATTCATAGCTATTCTGTGGTGTTGGTAGTTGGTGCTAGACACTGAATGACTATTCGCCTATATGGCTGACTAAGTACGGCACAGGTCGTTGTCAAGATCGGCCAGTTTATCCATTAAAAGCACTATTTTTCTAACCAAGAGACCTCTGTTTTATCAAAAACTTACAGAATGCTTGTCGATTGGTCGACGGAAGGTTGATGTGTAGCCCTTCTGTAAGGGGACAGGACAGGAGGTTAGATAATGCTCCGGAGAGCCAGTCTGTCCACAGGCGCACTGGCTAGTGTTACTTATCCCGCGTTTGTTAAAGTACTCGGGAAATGGTCCGTGACCCGTAATGTATCTTACCAATTGCATGTTTGCAAAATTTTTGGTAGTGTCCACGTAGCTGACATGGTAATAAGTCCGTCGGCCGGTATCGCTGTTATCCCATGTCTGCTGCCATTTCCCGATTGCCTTTAAGCGCAATGTTCTTTTCAGGTAAGACACTGGCCATGGGATGTTGATTTGTTGAGATGTTGTTGCTCCTGTGGCAGCTTCTTTGGCTAGATGGTCAGCCAACTCATTGCCGTGGTGGCCGGCATGCGCTTTGATCCATTCAAGTCTTGTATGGAGTTGGGAATTTTTTCGCAGATCTTCCTGTATTCCCTGAATAATATCGGATGGGTGGTCAGGGTTTCCTATTGCGTATAGCGAAGAAAGACTGTCTGTCTTTATTGTAGCGTTGCGGGAGTGGTGGGATTGCAGGTAGCGGATTGCTTGCGCAATTGCCACTGCTTCTCCCTGAAAAACGCTATTAAATTGCCTTAGTTGACCCTTCCATTGATCTATGACTGTATCTTGCAGCATGACCACATAGGCACTTCCCACGTTTTCGTCTATCTTCGACCCGTCAGTGAAGATGGTAATCTGTGCTGGACGGTGGGCCGTAGTTGGATTGGTAATTATGCTTATTCCGGTGCCTTTGGCTGCTGGATGGATTTTCAGAGGGCAGCATTTAGCTTCATAGTCCTCTGGATTAAAATATTCTTCCTCAAAGGTGACAGGTCTTTTAAGCTGCAGGACGATTTGTCTTGCTGCCTCCTCTTCGACACGGATGTGTAGGGGAAAGAAGGCCAGCCAGCACGTTGATCGCGTCTGAAGACGTCGTGCGGTAGGCTCTAGTGATACCCAATGCAAAGGTCTTTGAATGGTAGAAAGGTGTTTAATTTTCCTGCTTTGCATTGGGTGAGCCCATACTGCTGCTGCATAAGTGACTATCTTTTCCACCACTGTGGTGAGAGGACCTTCTGAATATGAGGATTGAGGCCCCATTTGTGGCCATGAAATAATCGCATTTGCTTCGCTATTGTCACTGTTCTAATTTTGATGTCCTGGATGTGTGGTATCCAGGTCATCTTGTGGTCGAACGTAAGGCCCAGATATTTTAGTTGATTGACTATTTGTATCCTCTGATTGTTGATCTTAATGGTTGGTCTTCTTGAAAGAGAACCTCCCTTTTTAGGTATTAATAACACTTTGGATTTGTGCTCTGCAATTTTCAGTTTAAGGTTGTCACATAGGGCATAGAATTGTTGGCACACTTCGTTACAGTGAGTCTCTAATTCTCTTCGGGTTCGACCTTTCACTATTAGCGCTGCGTCGTCTGCGTAGGCGTAGATCTTTGGGTGTGCGCTGGCCATGTAGCTGTTAAAAACTTCGTTGAAAGTTAGATTCCACAGGTGTGGACCAGCGCACGACCCTTGTGGACAGCCTCTCGTCTGCTCCTGTTCTATTATGCCTGAGTTGTGAACTGCTAGTAGTCTTCTATCCTGTAGATAGTTGCTTAGCATCTTATACAGGTTGCTCGGACATTTTGCCTTCCGCAGAGCCTGTTTGATAGCCGGCCACCATAATGTATCAAAAGCGTTTTTGAGATCTATGCTTATCATGGCAGTATGGTGGCCGCTATGTCGATTCTCTAAAATTGCTTCTCTAATGTCGAAGAGTAGGTGGACTGTAGAAGTGCCCGTCCTAAACCCGTATTGTCTCGGGCTTAAGAATCCTTGCGTGTGTGTAAATGGTACCGTAGCCTGTTCATGATAATCCTTTCTAGTACCTTACCCATTGCCGATAAGAGACAGATAGGACGAAGAAAGGATGTGGCCTCGGCTGGGTTCCGGTTCTTTTTCAGAAATAAAATAACTTGCCCTATCTTGTATGGTTTTGGGAATATACCTGCTGCCAGAAGCTTGTTGAAATAGTCAACAAAGAATTTAGGGTGAGTTTTGATCGTTGCTTTGGTGATAGCATAGTCCATCCCATCGGGCCCAGGGGCTTTCTTGCGCGGCAGAGTTGCAAGAACTTTTTGAAGTTCATTAATTGTAATATCCGGGTCTGTTGGGGTGTCCAGTGTGGTTGTTACTGTCCTGAGAAGAGCTTGTTCTGCTGTGTCCTGCAGTACATCGTCTTTGCAGAAAACTGCGTTTAGGAGCGTACGTAGGGTGTCTGCCGTGTACTCCTGACTGTTGGTGATTGAGAGAGGGATCTGTAGCTGCGAAGGTTTAAAAATTTTACCGGTAGCTATTTTGTGGTGAATACCATACGTCTTTTTTGCTTGGGTGCAGAATTCCCTCCAGGAAGTAATCTTAGCCTGAATAATCATCTTTTTGTACCGCGCCCGCTCCCGTTGAAATATGGTGAGGGTGTTGGACTCTATCTCCAACCGTCTTTCGCTTTTGAGTTTTCTTCGCAGTGCTCTGCACTTTCGTTGCTGTATTCTGAGCGCACTCGACCACCAGTGAATGCCTTGGAGTCTCTTAGGTTTTCTAAGAGGGAGATTTTCATTACATATATGGCTTGCATTGTTTCTTGTAATGTTACGGAGAAGTCTTCTAATTCTGCTGACGTGTTAGCTAGTTGGAGCGAAGGTTCGAGGCGCATTAGCTGCACTTTAATTTTCTTCGTAAATGTTGTTAATTTTCGGCCAGGAAGGTTATAGCGTTTGATCTTGGACACGGAGGTGGTCTGCGATATAGAGAAGGTAATGAACTTGTGATCACTGAGGCTCTCTTCCTCTTCGACTTTCCAGTCCTGCAAAAGAGGTGCTACGTGCAGAGTGGTCAGGGTGAGGTCTGGCCATCCCTGCGCAAAGACCCTGTCGAAGGATGGTGGTGCATCTGCTGTATTCTGGACTATTAGATTACTTGAGGATATGAAGTCCTCTAGTTCTCTCCCTTTCGGGTCTGTAGTTCGATATCCCCAGGCCGTATTATGTGAATTGTAATCGCCTGCGAAGATCATATTTGGGATTTTAAATCGAATCGATGTATGACACTTTGGATGAATCTTGTCGTCGGGCCAATATCCGCTGTTGGAGGAGAATAGATCGACGCTAAGATAACAGAGAAGGAATGTACTTCTACGAGCACTGCTACATGATCTTGATCGAGTGAGATAGATGGAGACCACTCTGGATTACAGATTACTTTATAGCTCTTGGTGGATGGTCGTGATTGGAAATTTGAAATACTGTCCATTGCAATGGAAAACTTGCTGCCGCGCCATCGCGGGTATATGGCTCTTGACCTATGATAAAGTCTATTTTATTATCAATTGCGAATTGAACTGTCTGAGCGACCGCAGCCCTGGCTCGCTGCATATTGATTTGTAAAAATCTGATGGGTTCTTCGTTTGAGTTAAACACTGTATTTATCTGAACGTTTTGCGCTTGTTGACTTTCGCAATTACGTGGTGTGTTGTTATTAATATTGGGTGATGCTGCGGATGTAGGCAGCTGCTCGCTGGTATTCTGCGCATTCAGTTGCGTAGGCTGGGTGCCTACAGTCGTGCATGGTTCCATGTCTATCGTTTGCGTCACGGCAGTTAATACATTCTGGTAGTTCTGCTTTGCAGTTTTTGACATTGTGCGGTCCGGCGCAGTAGGCACAGAAGTTCTTCTTGCATGTGCATTTATTCTGGGTATGTCCGAGCTGCTGGCACTTGTAGCAGCGACGGATGCCCAGGTACTCTGTGATTGCGTGTGCGTGCCAGCCTGTGAAAATTCGTCTTGCCCTAAGGAACTGCCGGAAGGATGGACGGTTGGCACTCCAAAAACCCATTTGACTCGCTTTGGGTTCCGTTCTCGGAGTCTGAAGAGCGCTTTGATGCCTTGTGGATGGGATTTCTGCTGTTGCAGCGATTTCCCCGATGAGTTCCTCGGGCATGATGTTGTCCGGGATGTTATGAACTGTGGAGCGTGGCTTTCTTCTTTGCCGTCTTTGCAGATCAATCTCCAGGTTGGCATTTTGTAATTTCTCTTCTAATTGATCTATGTCTTTAGTTGATTTGCAAAAGACCTCTAATTCTCCTTTCGATGTTGAGGAGATATGCTCCACCGCAATTTGTAGGCTGCTAATCGGGGCTTTTTCTTGGAGCTCCTTCCTGAGTTGTGCTTCTGTCTTCTTACCAGTAGGCTTTATTATTAAACTAGGCCTCTGTGTTAGTTTTACTACTTCTGCAAAAGAGCGTGGGGGTGGCTCCTGTATAACTGCTGATGTTGCTGCGTAAGAAGAAACTGATGCACTCAGTGCAGGAAGATCGCTCGAGGTTGTAGAAATCTGTGCGCGTACTGCTTTCGCAACAGACGAAGGTGGATGTGTGTTGACCCCAATTTCAATTGTCTTAGGCTTCAGTGGTGTATTCCGGGCCTTCTAGAACTAGCCCTTGTAGAACTTCTAACGATTTTTGTATGCGTATCCTTACGTCGTTTGGCAAGAGGTACTTGTTCCTTCTGGATGTCGCCGAGGCCTATGTCTGATATCTTCTGCTAATGCTACGATTTTCTCTGCGTGCGTCCGATCTGAAGAAAGTAAGGCAAAAGGGTCTAGTATGCCATTGATAGGGGTATGGTCTTCTTCAGTCGGTACAGCAGATTTTCGTTCGCATGGCAAGGAGCACTATTCAATATTGCAATACTATTCAAAATTGTTGTCATACAACACTGATTCTTAACACACTCATTCACGAATATGATAGAGAGGTATGCAATTATGTTTGAAAATGCAGTTAATTGCACAATTCAGTAATACAGGGAATATTATTAGGATAACAGTACTGAAAGCAAAAAAAAAAATAATAATAGTTCAAAGTCCGGTACAGGTATTACTGTATTAAATTACTGTATTAAAGTTCAGTCAGTGTCAGAGATAGGAGTAACTCAGTTCAGTGAGAAATATGTTACACTGTGGACTATTAAAAACCTAGTGTAAAAGCTGTCCCAGTAAGTAAAGATTTTGTTGCTTTGATGCAGGTTCTAATGTATATGTGTGGCATACACTATATTAAAATAACACTATCACTATAGCAGTACAGATAACAGAGACAAAGTGACACTATAATTAGGGTAGGCTGTGAGTAAGTACAATTTAAACAGTAAGCCTAGTAAGAAAGTCACACCTGGGATATCACACCTGGGGATGTCAGTGTATTATACCTTGCACTAACCACAAAATGTTCTGAAGTGTAGTTTGAGATTGTTATATACGGGCCTACTGCTCCCTGTTTATCTCAGAATGCAAGAAAGATGAGGTAGTTTTACCTCAGTAGATTAATATTACAGTTAGTAGTATACAAGGATTATTCATTGACCATCTAGTAAAGAACCGTGGTTGGAGAAATTCCTCTAAGTCCACTATGTGTCGGGAAAACTAAGAAAGAAGAGGGATGGACACTGAGAACAGATGAAAGAAACAAATTAGAAAGGGGGGCAAAAAAAAGAGGGGGTCGAAGAGAATAGTAGATGAAATTGTTAATAAGGGAGAAGAAGTGAAGTCAAAACTGTGGTGGAGTGGAAACTTTGGGTTAAATAGTTTACTGAGTAATAAGAGAAATAAAAAAAGGGGGTTAGAATCAAAAGGGGAGAAAGAAGGGTCGTAGAGAGAGAAAAGTGAGAGGTAAAATCGGAGGAGAGGTAATAAGGAGGGAAGACAAACGAAGGTGGAATGGAGGCTCTAGGTGGTGTGGTCTGCTGAGTTATTAGAGAAATTAAAAAGTGGGGTTGTGAATTAAAGGGGGAAGGGAAAGAAGAGGGTAGGGGCTTATAACTTCTTAACTATAGTAAGGTGTCTACGAAAAGGGAATTTTGTTGTAGAGAGTGAATAAAAAGAAAAGAAGGTGTTAGAATGTTACAGGGAAGAGCTGCAAGAGAAATAAAACGTAATTAAATACAATTAAACGTAATTAAAATAGGAATAGCACTGAAACTAATGGAGTTAGAGAAGAGGGGGAACTGGGGATGTCAATAGGAAGGAAAGGGGAACCTGTGTATGTAATTT